GTTTTTTGTTTTTCTTTTGTCGTTTCTTTCTCCCTCCACCCCTCCTTTTCCCCCCAGCCCACTTTTCCACCGCCCAGGCTGAACACCCTTATCCAGATGTGGCGCGTGATCGGATCTTTTTGTGTGTGTGTGTTCCCTTCTATGTCATGCATGGATTGTCGCCATGGTTGATGATGGTGGGGAGAGAAGGGCGGCGAGGGAGAGGGGAGGGGTGGGGGTGGGGTGGGGGAAGAAGGGGGCGCCGTTGGACGATCATGGTTGGGTTGGTTTTTGGATGTATGTACCTGTATACCTTGACTTTTCCATGGTGGAGGCGCAAAAAGCGATAGGTAGTATATATTTCTCAACAACCACTCACTCTCGTACGTAACCAGCACTTGACAAGTAGGCAAGTAGGCCGGTAGGCCGGGCAAGTAGACTACCAACCGACCTACCTCCTGTCCGGCCTTATTGAACAAGGGTCGAGTTTTCCCCCTCGAGCCCTTGTGTCCTGTTTAAAGCCGTTGTTGCTTCTCTTGGTGTAAGTGTTGTCTCTCTTGTTCATGGAGCAGATGGCTGGTATGTCTAGATGGAAAGTGGTCCGGGGCGTTGGAAGGGGGGAATGAATCACTTTTCTCTTTCTCTTTCTAATGATTTTTTCTCTTCTTCTCTTCTTCTGTTCTTTTTCTGTTCTGTTTCTCCTGTCTTTTGGTGGTTGGGGGAGTTTTTCTACCTTGCCTTTGATACACCACTATAGAAGAAGGAAGGAGGGGAGGGGGGGATTGATTATACAGTGTAAAAAAAAGTTTGCCGACCTTTTTTTCCTTTCTTTGGTGCTTGCTCTTCATACATTTCTTAGCTAGATAACTTGTTTTTTTTTTGTTTTTTTTTCTTTCGGTTGTTCTTTCTTTTTCCTCTCCCTTCTACATACATACATATACTACCCACGTACGCTATTTGGGCCTGGTAGGTGGTAGGTAGATTGATTGTTCAGTACGGGGTCAGGAAGTGGATCTTGCATTTGTTGTGATCTCTCTGCCTCTGTCTTTTCATTCTGAGGTTTGAGGGTGTTGGGGGTTGGCTGTTTGGTCGGTTGGTTCTTGACTACTGACTACTGACTACTGACTACTGACGAGGGTAGCGCGATCGAGAGGTAGGGAGCTGTGGAAAGTGGAAAGGGAAGGTCCTCATCATCCTGTCAGTGTCAGCTGAACAGGGAGGCTCAGCGGGCTACTGGGAAAAATAGAAATCAAGGCGAGACTACTACTACGACAACAAGAACTCAAACCAGTATTTTGGCTATGGTGACCAAATCACAAATCACATTTCATCAGAGCATGGGTAGATCAAAAGGTATCAAGAGTTATAAACCAGCATGCATAGCACAACCATTCCAACAGTATATCCCAGACTGGGTGGGTGGTGCCCGGGTGTGAATCTGTTGATAACCATCAGGGAAGATAAGTAAGTGTCAGTGGGCCAAATGGAAAACAAGGAAAGAAAATTAAACGCCGTCCCAGTGCAGCGTGATTGTGTGTGTGTCATGAGATTTATATATCGCATATGGTTGGGAAACCCGTGGGTCCGAGTTTCTTTCCTTCTTCTACCGGGTATCATCATATCTGTATCCTTTCCATTTCCCCCTTTCTGCTCGAGGTGTTTTTGGAACTAGCGGAACTTGGCCCTGCAGCGTCCCATTACTTCACCCTGGCACACTAGCTCCGCACTGAATTCGCTACCATCGAGGGTCAAGTAGATGTCGAAGTAAACGCGGTAAAAGGTTCCCTGGGGTGTGTCCATGCGCTCGAAGTCGGTTTCCAGGTTCTTGCGGGACAGGTCCGATGTGAGGGTGACGACTTCCTTGATGCCTGTAGTGGATTTGTGTTAGTGCTGGATGGGTAGTTGTCGAGAGAAAGAGCAGCTTACGTGGGTCCTTCGTGTACTCCGGACACACATCCTCGTCACAGGCATACAAGATGTCCTCGTACATGAGGGTGGCGCCGGGAGCAACCTGCCGGAAGAAGCTGACCTTGACCGGCTCGCCAATCTTGACTCGCTCGCCCTTCTGCATGAAGATCTGCCGCGTGTACTTGCAGCGATCGCGACCGTCAAGACTGGGAACTCGGTATTGTTCGGGGTGATATCCTTCTTTGAATGGCTGTAGCGTTGCCATCAGATAGTGCCGACGAGCGACACGGTGGGTAACCACCCGCTCAGTGATTCCGGCCGTCACGGCACCCTTCACAATCGCTGCAACCGAATCCATAGGCCGAACAACCTTGGTCTGATATTGTGGCGGTACGTGCAGCTTGATTTGCTGGAAGAGGTACTCCGAAGCACCGAATCCACCCACCACGAGGACGTTCTGGGTCAAGGTCAGTCCTGGGACACTGCACATTAAGGATCCATCGACATACCTGGAGCGATCGGTTCTGCGCTTGAATCGCGATGATCTGATTGCGCACCAACTCGAGGATGCGGTTGACCACCGGCTCAAAACACTGTAAGATCTCTTCATTCGTGAACGTCATGTATCCTTCCTCAATGCCCGCATCAGGGAAGTCGGCTTCAATCCCCACGTCTACCGCCCATTTTTGGCCGTTGTTGCGGAAGTCCGCCTTGATACGATTCTCGAAGTCCATGATACACTTGGCATAGACCTTGCCGGCGGTGCGTGAGCCGTCGGGCAGCTTCATCTTGCGGATCTTGGCCCTAAGGATGTTGCTGAAATTCCGATTCAGAGCAGTGGAACCGCAGGAATCACCCGAGCCACCCGTGCATTCTGCGACACTGAAGGGTGACTCTTCTTCGACTTCATACGCGATCAGATCGACCGTACCACCACCGCAGTCCACGATCAGAATGGCGTCGCCCACTTTCAGGTTCAACAAGCCCGTTTTAGCACAGAAGAGCGCAGCTGCTTCCGGCTCCGAGATCAGAGTGAGGCGGTTGTCGTTCTCGTCGCGTAGAAACCCAGCTTGAAGAGCTGCCGCCCGGGTCGCTGCCTTCCCTGCATCGTTCCAGATGGCCGGGACGGTCAGGTAGTATCGGATGTTCCGTTCTTCTCGCGTGAACACTTCACCAAGGGTCTTCTGAAGCTGGGCCCGCATTGCCTGTCGCAACTTGAAAAGGTAGTCGGCGGCGACATCGATCTCGGACTTGCCCGGCGGCAAGGGCGGCAGGTTAATGGGGTCGATGTAGGTGTTGCCGGAGAGCATGAGCTGGAGCTTGAACCATTCGACCTTCTGGACCCCTTGCTTGGGGTAACCAGTAGGGGCCAGCGCATCTGCAATATCCGGGCCCCATCCCACCACCTTCTGGTATTGGTCGTAGTACAGCACCGTTGGGATCTGGAGGTACCGGAAATCGAGTTAGCAATCTAGGGGGGCCTGCATAAAAGGTGCGGGGAAATTATCTGGACCCACCTTCTGTTTGGTGTGAGTGCCGGCCCCAGGCCACTCTGTGATAATGTCTTCCCGAGCTTCATTGTTGGTCGCAAAGGCGAAGGCGACTCCAGAGAAGGTTGTCCCAAAGTCGATGCCGACGATCAGCTGGGCCTTGCTGCGGCCAGCGCCCTCGACTTCGACGGCGGGATTGCGCAAGTATTGGGGTTGATGAAGACCGGGGGTCATACCCGGGGCCATGGGCTGCTGTAGTCCATACCCGGGGGGCGCTCCCATAGGAGATTGCGAATACTGCAGGCTGGTGTTGATGGAGGGTGGGTGGTGAGGGCCAGGCGGCAGCGGGCTGGTGGGCCGGCCCACCGTGTTGTAGGTATAACTCGGGGGGCGGCCCAACTGATTTTGATTGTTCATGGGTAAACTGGTGGTAGAGGAACTGTGACCGGAGGGTGGGGAGCTGGGCGAGGTGGAAGAGGGAGGAGCGACGAGCGTGCTGGTCGATGGCGCAGTGCTGATTCCCTGGCTGGATAGCGTCGACACGGGAGAAGGTTGCGGGGTTGAGTTGTTCTTGTTGCGCTTCGTCCCAAAGGTGAACGATTTGAAGTTTAAGCGTGAGCTCATCAGGTCCTTGATTGTGCACAACCGTTAAAAGCAACGGATGGGGACGAACAAAGAGAAGGAGGAAGAAGACGGAGGAGGGGATACGAGGCGGGGAGGGGGAGACAAGAGGCGGACGCGAGGGAGGAACAGCAGCGGCAGCACGAGAGAAGAGGCCAAGAGAGGAGAGAAGGAAAATCAGATAATTGGGAGAATGGGGCGGTGCTGAAGCAGAAGACAGAAAAGAGTAGGAAGGTGGAGGAGAAGGTGGTAGACGAGAGAAAGAGATGGAGCTTGAGAAAGAAAGGAAAGGATGTAAGACGAGCGGAACAAATAGCGAGGGAGAAGGAAGAGGCAGTGCTCGCGATAGAGTGAGTGAGTGAGTGAGTGAGGATGGGATGGGATGGATAATCAAAGGGAGGGAGAAAGTGAGAGGGAGAGAGAGTGGGGAGGATCAAATTGCGGGGACAACAAACAACGGCAACAACAACTTGAAACCACAAGTTCAACATCCACTAAACAGCAGGGCTGAGTCGGTGGAATGGTTCTAATTCTGTTAATGATCGATGGCTTGGGTCAAGAGGAAGAGAACAGAAAAAGAGTTGTCAGTCAGTCAGTCCGTCAGTCAGACAGCAGCTGGAGCTGGAGCTGAGCTGTAGCCGGTTTGTCATCGATAGACTGTCAGATTGCCAGACAGTGAAATGCGCCCTGGAATTCCCTCTGGAATGATCGGCTTCCGACTACCGATCTGGTGGATAAACAGAGTACTGAGTACATACAGTACAGAGCACTTCTCACTATCGAATAGAATGAAAGTAAAAAAAAAAAAAAAAAAAGGAAAGAACCATAGGACCATAATGCTTTCAAGTTCATGCTTTTGATATCATTGCATTCGCAGACAAGGTATCCAAAGTCTGGTCCATTCAACTGGGTTCCATACCATACATTACAGCATTACAGTATCTTACTACGCATCTATCAAGGCCTTGATCAGGCCGCAACCTCAATTGTTTTGATTGACCTCCTGACTTGATTGTTTACACTTAAGGCAGAGAAAGCGGTAGATTAGTATAGAGTACAGTACAGTACAGTACCCGTCTACCATGATTTCCTATCTTCTAGAAGAATGCTTCTGCCTCGCTCATCTCTCCTGCTGTCTCGCATTGTGGATGAGACCACGGAGTAATCAAGTGAGACTGAACAGCAGTGCCTGAGCCCGCGATGGAACCATCACCCGCCGTTTTGGCCCCAATGCCGCTAAGCCTGGCGTGGGATGGGCGATTTGGATGGGTTCAATTGAATTGGATCGCCGGTTCTTTCTTTGTCTTGGTGTCGGGCTCAGGGCTGCGGCTGAACAGCGTCTGGTCTCCACCCGATCCCTGGCTTGGTTTGTTTTTCATACAGTGTGAGCAGTACTTGTACAGTACAGTACATGTACTTACCTTTCCCCATTTCGACTACTTCCGACTTCGAATTTGATCCACCCTATATTATATCTAGTCTATATTGAATGACCTTGACTATTTCCAAGACGGAGAAAGATAGATGGAGAAAAAAAAAGGGGGGAAGGAAGTTCAGAGCACTGGTTCAGTGGCTTGTCTTGCGTGCCACCCAGTGCGATGGCCGGTACAACGGCAACAGCATACTGTTGGGGTCCTGGATGTACCCACACCACGGCCGTTCGTGTGCCGGCTGGCGCTGCTCGATCACGAAGCCCATCCGCTCCACGAGGCAGAACACTTCGGCCTCTGTTAACTCCACATTCCCTGGCTCGCTGATCCCCTGGTCCTGCGAGTCGTGGCTGTTCTCGTGGCTGCGGTTGGCCCCGTCCTCGAAATGCCATAGCAGCGGCCCGACGTTGATCCAGAGCCCGTTCGGCTTCAAGCAGTGGTGGATTGTTTCGATATACCGGATCAGGTTCGGGGCGGTATCAATAAAGAAGACCGTCGCCACCGCATCGAATGCCTCTCGGTTGTCAAGCTGGCGGTAGAGCACCACAAAGTCGGCCGCCGACATGCTCATCTGGCCGAACGGAGGGCCCTCGGGGTTCTCCGCCGCTTCTGCCATCACAGTGCCCGGATGTTGGTCGGGGATCATCACGGTCTGGAGCTGTTGCTCCCGCGACAGCAGATTCGAGAAGTGCAGGGCAAAGGGGTAGAGCGTGTGCTTTTGAGGACCGAGGGTGTGGTTGAGGACCCAGCTGCTGGCCAAAAGCTGATGGTAGGAGATCTCGTTGCCCTCGGGTGAGAAGCCTGCCCGAGCGATGTCGAAGACCAGGCGACCCAGGCCAGCCCCCGGGACCAGCACCCTGATTTCCTGGCCCGCAGCGGCGCGCGCACCAAACTCGGTGCGCAAGTCCTGGAGGACCGGGTCATAGCAGACTTCTCTCTCGGCGCGCCCCTCGGCGCTCCAGTCGCGGTAGAACTGCCTCAAGGTCGAATGGGCCTTGTTGACATCGGAGGTATTGGCCGTTTCGTGCCAGTTCTCCCGGGGGTCCTCCGGGTTCGGGTCGGGCGACAGACCAAAGGACGATAGGCCCGTGGCCAGAATCGCGTCCGCGATCTCCGCATTCATGTCGATGGCATCGTCTACCCGGTTGAAGTTCTCGAGGATCGAGAAGGGCGGCTCGGCGAGCATCTGCCAATGCGCCGAGGGCAGCGCGTAGAATGCTTGTCGTCGCCGGTGCGTTGTATTCATATGCGCCGTTCTCCGATATTGTCTGCCATGGTCAGCAAATTCTCGGGTAGTCAAAGCCATCATGGTGATCTGAAGCATGGATCGTTGGTGAATGGCGACCGTCCCCCTCACTGTAGGACTAGCGTAGCGTAGAGCAAGAACCTAGTAACTAATCATGGCTACACACAACCACGAACGATAAGATAGGACGGTGACACCAGAAGCTCCAGCAGCTGTACCACACCGACCATCCGCACGCACCTGAAGGAATCCAATGCAGCAAAAAGCACCCGGCGCTCCTCGGCGTCGGCCAACGGGTCGAAGTCCCCGGACCAGCTGCGCACATCTTCCGAGTCATCGTGGGGTTCCGATTTGACGGAGTGGGTGATATCGTGTGACATGTTGAGGTACGACGATCGCTCCAGATATTCAAACAGAGAGTGAAGTCGACAACAACAAAGAAGAAGAAGAAGAAGAAGAAGAAGAAGAAGAAGACAGACTACCAGGTAGCTCCAAGCAGAAACTCGCGCGCGAGGGAAAAAAAAGACAAGCGATGAAGAGACTCGAAGCCGGAAGATGAATTCGAGGGCCGGCCTGCCGCCGCGGAGGGACCCGCTTTCTTTCTGTGGCCTTTTTTTGTTTTTGGCGGGGAAAACGAGATTGGAAAGCGTCCAGTCCAGAAGCGGAACGAGACCTCGCTCACTGGCAGTCCATCCAGTCCATCTTCAATCTTTCTATACTTCGGTGACTAGCAAAACAAAACAAACAGCTCTTTTGGCTCGCGCACAGGCAACCGGTCTATCAGTCTACCAGATCTTGTAAACACCGAGCGCGTTTGATTCTTGGACCCAGGAAAATGGCGACAGCAGCAGAGCCCACCATCCCACCCCGCCTCCACCCGCAGGAGATCTCCTTCCCCCTGCCCAAGGCTCTCCACACGACAGCACACATTCATCTGACCCTGTTGGACACATGTGCGATGGTGTTTCTGGCCACGTCGACCCCGGGCGACTCGGCGGGGACCGTGAAGCCGATGGGGAGTTTGATCTACGCGATGCCTGATGTAAGTGTAGTGAACAATATAGATAGATCTGCCCCATCAAAGCAGATAGATCCCCATGCGCAGGACGAACCTGATACCCATATGCTTCGACACGCATTGATCGATGGGAATCCCTCACTCTTTCCTCATTCATACACGACTATTATTATATCTTCTTCGCCCTCGATGCCCTCCACATCACATATATCTATACCAAGCTCATGCACATCCCCAACACCCCAGCCTGAAGCCATCTGCAACTGCAACTAACCAACAAAAACCCCAAGCTCAAATCCCCCACCACCCCCCTCTCAACAACAATCTACTCCGCCCCCAGCAGCGTGGAATACACCACCCGCGTCGCCAAGATCCTCGCCCGCAGGCTGCGCACCCCCGTCTACGTGGGGAGCAGCATCGACCCGACCTCGCTGGGGCTCCAGGTCGAGGAGGAGATGGAGGGACTACGCCAGATCGTGGAGGCGGTGGTGAAGCGGTGGGAGGCTGCGAGGCAGTGATGTCGTTCCCTCTTTCGCACGCACAAAGTGCTGACTGGGGTCTGTGTATCAGGCGGTGGAGGAGGGGATGAGAGCGGGACTGTGCTAGCGAGCGGGGGTTTATAGATCCTAGGTCATGGTGTCTCGAATGCGATCTTATGTTTTTGTTCAGATGTTGTGGGGTTTCCTTTCTATCTGATATTGGGTCTGAGAGGGATGGCGTGGTGGTCGGCGTGGGTGATGGTTTTCGGGTTTTGAGGAAGTAGTGGAGACCTTCTGTGGAAGGTTGCGAGATCTTTCAAGGGTTGATGGTCTGGGATGCTTGAGATGGTATTGATATGAGATTTGACAGTAGAAGGAAGGAAGAGGCATTATGTCTTGCAACAACCATGCCTGTTACCATTATGATGAGTATCTCGGCATAGCGTGAAATAGGCGTAGAGAAGCGCGCAGCATGCATCAACCTGGCACTTGGTATATGCCGCAGTCCCCTGAGGTTCACCGCGTGGAAGCGAGAGAGTACTAGGCTCTAGTGCGATAGCAGCAGAGAGAGCGATGCAAGCGAAGACCTCCCATGTCCTCGAGCTCTGGGAATCCGATAGTCGCCATCGCACACCTCAAGGATAGTTGACTCGTGAATCGTCGATTGTAATGACCTAAGTCATGAAAAGACGCAATTGGGAGGTTATATCAAGTCATTTCAGCGGGGTGTTCAGGACATAACCAGGTGGCATCACATCCGTCTGCGATTCCGTATTGAAAGAGAATAGCTACTAGTCCCAATTCATCTTCGACAGGCACGCATGAGAGGATTCTCCTTTCCCAGACGTCATTACTTTTTCGTTTATTTGGCTCGAATCAATTGAAAAGCCCCCCCCCCCCCTTTTCACCCTCACGCTCACCCCTCCCTGTCGGATAAGCCCGTTGTGCCGCAACGCTCAAACATCATCAGATGAATGAACAGCTGCATGCACGAGTCCTAAATCATACTAACGAAGCGGCTACCGAATACTGCAGCCATTAAGGACCAGGATGATTACTACTATCCACCGACTGTATCGGGAAATGTCCACGACTCAGGTATCCTGCAGTAATAGGAAAGATTTCCCAATTTGATAGATACCGGCAGTTTGCCGAGGGGAAAGATAATCAGATTGACATCTCAAGCATCTCTCCTTAAATTGCGGGTCAATATAGGGCGAGATTGGCCCGTCCTCTCCGAATTGATCACGACATCTCGAATCTCGCTAGGTCCAGTTAGACTAAGTTATTACAGTATAGTTGGTCCAGCCCGCGGCGCGGGTCTAGCCACTTGCCCTCATGCCACTGGCAGGTTCGGCCGAGGCTGGCTAACATGCGTGGAAGCGCGCCGGTTGGATCGGGCGAAGCCTGTTCATTCCGCAGGTAGGGCCTTGATTCTTGGTAAATGGGATGCGAGGCTACGCAAGCGACGGTCCGTGGGGGAGGTAGTGGCAGAGGTAGAACAGAGTGAGAGGGATAGAGGAGGGAGGAGGGCGAATGGGATTACAGACTTGGTCTTTGAATTTTCCGACGATAAAATCAAAGGCGACAGTTGCCAGATTATTCAAGCTCGTGTGCGTGCGGCTGAGATGGCTAGGTCGGAACAAATCTTGAATTGTCGGCGGGAAGGATCGGAGAAAATGCGCCGCTAAGCTCAACAGTTGGAAGTAATAGCCCTGCAATCTGCACGTAAGCAAGCACACAGACTGTCAGGATGCAGGATGCAAGATTTAGGAAGTACGGAGTACGGAGCTGAGTCCAGTACGCAGAGCGCAATCCGGATGGGGTCGCACGGTTCAGCACCCGACACCTGGGAGGAGAGCAAGCAACCTTAAGAAACGGTTGTAACAGCCACCACCAATTTAGGAGTCCCGGCTATGTACTGTACGGAGTACAGTATCTGGGTAATCATGTATGATGCTCCTTCAACCGGCCGCCAGGCTGTCGGAAGTAAATCCGAGGCCAAGAATCTCAAGTGGAGCTGGCCCGCTGAATCCCGACCAAAGATCTCTAGCGAGAGCAACGAGGCCAACGATGCATTACAAGTGTAGACTACACAGACCTCCGACCTCGTCATTAGACCTCTCGTCCGATAGATATTAAGGACTCATTCCTCTCATGTAGGCGTGCGCATTGGCGTGGGGGCGATAAAAAAACATACAAGTAGAGAACCGCTTCAAGAGAGTACTGGTAAAGTTAGTGGTTTTAGCGAATGTTGATAGGGCGAACGTAGTACTTTAGTGTCGGGTTGTCTTGGGGCCAAGGCAGGATAGCAGTCTACACCTGATGTCCTTGTCAATAGCGTCGCTTGGCCGTTGTACAGTACACGGCAAGTGTCTACGACACCGAGATACCGCATGCAGAGTACCACGATCGCACTAGGATGCTTGGCTGGAACATTGCCGCCGCATGGTTGAAGGGCATTGACCATGAAGACCCCTGTTCGCGCAACAGATTAATGGCTGGGGGTCGGAGACTGCCAGTCGCTACTAGTACTCCCAGACACCATGAGCAATGGCACTGGGGGCCCAAAATCCACATCACAATGTCATAGTGAGAGGGATGGTAGCAGAGTAAAGTACGTACTCTGTAGTAGACAATCAATCCACCGACAAAAAAAAAAGGTCTCTGTTCAATAATTGATTCAGCGGGTAGACAGGCGGGCCAATGGTCCATGCATCGCCCACGTGGATGGTTAGGCTCGAGCAATATCCGGCCTGTGAAGCCTGCCATTGTTATTCAGTACGTACTCCGTAGCTGGGTCGGCAATCGATCCTCTTCCGTCGTTGTGGGTGGACAAAGAGGGGCAAAACACGGCACAGATGGACCAGTCGATTGAGAGAGTGAGAAAGTGAGAGAGTGAAAGAGAGAAGGAGGGAGGAAGAGGCACAGAGAGAGAGGACGCGAGAAGAAACCTGCAGAACAGCCATCGTGACATAACTTCCAGCTAGACCCTTCAGATGAACGCAGCCGCCGTTAAGAAGTCGACTGGCCACCACCAATTATTCCACTAGTGCTGTGACGGAACTCGCCGAGTTGCGTCCAGGTGGCCTAGCCCCGGTCGGATTGTTTATTTGGATGCATTTACACCAGATGACCAGATGAGAGAGTTCAGCATGGCTCGTTAGTTGTTGGTCTATCGATTGACTGAGTCATGTACCTAAGAAAAGGGACAAAGGAGAAAGAAGTAGGTAAGCAGGTGAGGGAGAGAAGGGAAGTAAAAAAAGGTCTGGCCAGCCAAAGCCCGTCGACTGGTTATCCCTGCCGAGAATATAAGGCAAGTGTGGTTTTATTACCGTGACATCTTCATCGTGCCCGTCAACAACTGAACAACTCTTCAAACGGAGTGCATCCGATAAACTGTCACGGCAAGTGCCATATAGAGCGGGACCCTTGAAGAAATGGATTGGATAAATGAAAATGCTCCTCGGAGAACTTCCCATTCATCTTTCACGACAACAGTAGTGTAGGGCTAAACTACAAAAGGCATTTTTGCCCGCCGAAGTAATAAGTTACCAGTCAACTTATACCTATCACTGTGTGTGTGTGTTTGTGTATGTGACTGGGAGGGAGGGGAGGGAGCCACAGCAGGAACCAAATCCGACAACACCGCCCGCGCTCTAATTCTACGCAGTGCGCACCGATGTACATTTTTAAGCTTAGGTCCCGTTGTCCCAAAGTTCGCAACAAGCCGAACACACACACGACCAGGAAACAGCGCAGACGAGCATCTGCTTCCTATTCACGGTAGGGAGTACAGTACAGTACAGTACATACTCGTACATATCATATGTAGCTAGCAACTTGATGTAGCTTGTTTGACGTTCCGACCATCCGGCTATTTCCTGTCTGCCTTCCAATACTTTCCTATCGAACCGATTGCTGGCCTGTTTCTCCTGGGAAAAGCTTAGTCGTTTGCCACTTGTGACTGGCAGGAGTTTGCATCCACCAGAGTTTACTTAGTCCTAACCATATCGTTGTTCAAATCTCGGCTAGAACATCCGGCCGACATGGTACGTTACATGGTACCTTAGACATGCAGTCACTAGTGACTCTTAGTCCGGGAACCACTTCTCGGGCCTATCCTGCCCTAGTCTAGTCTAGTTTTGGCCTTGGAGGACTGGGTTATGGGTGGGTTGGGTCCTGTTTGTTGTCATCCGATCGCATTATTGTTGTTCTCGAAAAAGGACAGAACGATTAACGAGGTAACCTAGTAATTGCCGTAACTTATGCGTAGAATCACCGCCCAGTCTCACTCGGTCTTCCGGGGGTCTAGAGTCCATCCAGCGCTTTCGGAACCCAAGGCGATCAATCATGCAACCAACACGGAGCGCTTGGAACGAATCCGACACCCGCGGCAGTGCGGCATCTTCCTGGAAGGGTGTGTGCTCCCGCATCCACTTCAATGCAGGATGGAGGGGCCACTACGGTCAGCGACCGGGTTGGGAGCGACGAATGAACTGTGGTGCGGACTGCGACATGACGACGCTGTCGACTAATACGTAAGACTGGCGGATATTGCCCGTCGGTGCGGCAGTTTCATCGAAGCAGGATAGGCTAGGGAGATATTTTCCGCAGCCTTGGTAAATGCTCTCAACATCACTTGGTCTGAACTTGTAAGGGGACGGTAGGAAGAACTTAATTTACGGCTGGAGTCGGTTGCTGCAGCTGCGCAGGACGGTGCATATGTGACCTGGAGTAACCTACAGTAGATAGTTCAGGCTGTATAGGCAGTAAGTCGTTTGGGGTTAGTCAGTTGGAACCCGAACCCTGAATGGCCAGGGTAGCTTGTGACAGTCTAGTCCCGAGTCAGCAGTATTGAGTTTCAAAAGCGTAGGGTTGAGCATGATTTCTGTCATATCAGTAGAGTTACCAGCCGGCCACTAGGAAAGTCTCTATTTCCCCCCTTCTCCCTACCCCCCTTCCCCCATTCATTCTGTTCTGAAGAGAAACAATAGCTGGACTGGGCGTCGGTTGCATCGAGACGAGGAACAATTTCACTACAAGTCATTGGCAGTTGGCCAAGAGCTTTAAGACACACGCAGCAGCCGTGTCCCAACGCCAAGCTGCGAAAAGGGAAGGACCCTGTTTGAGAGAGGCAGAGGGCTGCGGTGCTGATCGACACGCGCCGAAACCCCAGAAGGTAAAGCGCTGCATTGAGAGAAAGAGAACAGAAAGACAAAATTAGGAAATTGATCAAAAAGGAACAAGAAAAAAAAAAAAAAAAGAGAGAGAAAGAAAAATGGCCCATGCCAGCCAGAAAGTTACTACTGCACAATAGTCGCTCTGCTGGGTCGGTTCCTACGTAGGAGGAGAAAAGGCGGGCCTGGGTGGCTGACTATTAGGCCCGTGGCAGAGTTACCCAAAGCGCGCTGTTTTGAGGGATCGATTGGTTCAGGGCGCATTGATTGTGGCGTTGACACCTGACTCAAGGGAAAGGCACTCACAAGGTGACGAGGGGCGAAGGAGGCCTGGATTCTTCCTCAATGCTCAAAAGAGGGGAATGAGTTGATTTGACTATCAGGTAGTGAAGGATGGCATACCAAGTACTACTCCGTACAAAGGCACGTACAGTATACCCATCCGATTGTACGGACATAGCACCGGCAGTGAGTACAGTACATACCTTAATGTGCGCAGTCGATTGCTGTGTTTAAGGCACTGTGTTGAACCTAGTACGCACTGCCACCTTGCGAAGAGCATTGGGCACGGAATGACCGATGTGCCGATACCAATCAGCGTGAGCAAACGGCCTTCAGTTGCTAACCGATCATTTCAGCGCAAATGACGGTGGACATTGGATGGTAGGTGGGCAGCCCGGAGAATTTTCGCTGCCGTGACTCGGCCTGGCAATGGCGTCCGTGTTTCGCCCGAGAAAACCTCATCAGCAGCAGCAGCATTAACTAGTAGTAGCATCGTCATCAACATCACTATTACTACCACCACCACTGCCAGACATCTTCGTCAGCAACCTCAACAGGGCAGTTGGTATTGTCCAGTATCGGTACCGGTGGTAATACATTTAATGTGCGCAAGCTTGGTCGTAGTGGAACCGTCCACGGTTGTTGCCTCGTGCCGTTCACTGGTCTGCCCAATGGGCTTGATCCGGAGCAGTGATTCCGAGTCGATCGTCAGCATATGCTGATGACGAGGTGCGTATCTCTCGCCCCTCTCTTTTTCTCTCTTTCTTTTTCCGTCTTTCCATTCAAAGTCTTCTTTTTCAGCGCGGGGAATTATATCTGTCCTCAGTGTCTCAGACAGACACACGTTGAGAAGAAACGTATCCCTCGTTCGGTGTCATTCGGTGTAAAGGAATGCAACTTTAATTGGTGTCCATGTTAGAGGGATCAATCGGGTCTCAACCTCAACCTTAGGGGAAGCGATACCCGGTATTGGATGGTTGTCGGTGAAGAGAATAAGAATAGCAACCAACGATCTTCCTCAACATCCAATCAAACCGTTGCCCCATCGACCTTCTCATTGAAGGTAAAGCGAGTTTGACTTTCCACGTTCCCGTCAAACCGCCAGTCATCATTCCGTACTCCGGACTCGGTTTCTTGGATCCATGATCCGATGATTCTATTCCAGACTCTCATTTCCGTGAAGCAGAGCTAAGACATACTGAGTTCGGAGACATTACTGAAAGATCATTATATGAAAACGTGTCGAGAATTATCCCGACCAAGTGGGTATTCCGGATCGAGAGACTGATTCCACTGCCCCTCTCTTCTCTTCCATCGATCATCAATCATCGAGGGCTAACTAGTAACTACTTAGGCTAATCATTTGCAAGCATCGGCTACGGGATAGATCCGAGGCATTATTCCCTGCTGCTGCTGCTGCTGCTGCTGCTGCTAGTGGTTACGAGCGAGCTTACCCTAACTCACCAACGTGATGATCCTGCAGATAAGTAGTAATCTGGAAATAGCTCGGAGTTGAGCTCCGTATATGTACAGTATTCAATATGTACAGTATGTACTTTGTGTGCGATTTGTATGTACAAGTAAATTCGTACAGTAAGTTAAGTGCCTAATTACTACGGCGTATGTAAGCTTGAGAGTCAATGGTCAATGGTCAATTCAATGGTCAATGGTCCACGGTTAAGCCTAGAAATTGTTCATCCCATGGCCGGGTCTGGCTCCGTCCCCCCTCTCTCTCTCTCTCTCTCGTCCTCCCCTATCCGAGACCGAGAGACCCTCCCACTGGAAGGAAGGCCCGCCATTCTTCTTTTTGATCCCGCTCCGTGGTGGGACCAAAAGAGACATGGACTTCAGGACCACAACTGACCACGTCGCGATCTCAAACCGTCGCCCTGAAGTCGTCAGGACGACACTGCCACTTGCCGATCTCGGGTCACTTTTCAGCTAGCTAGAGGTCTGATCCTCAGCCAAAACTACTAAAGATAAAAAGGAACCAAAAAAAAAAAGAAAGAAGTAAAAAACAAGATCAAGCCTCTGCGCTCCCGGGAGTTGGTACCGACCCTCGCCTGCCCACTTATCATGACTACAACTATCCCACCAGACCGTCTCCAACCTTCTACATTGAAGCTGCTGGCAAATTCTTTGCATGATCACGACAAGAAGAAAGAGGGATACCCGACCGATGCTCTTCTCTCATTCATCAATCGCAAACCGTTCGATCGATCCAGGCAACAGACCAGCCACTCAGTGTTTCTGCTCGTGTTACTGTTAGGACGATATTAACATAACATAAATTACAGTAGTTGGACCGTTCGGTAGTGTTTGTGTATGTTTGCGTGTGCAAGAGAGGAGGAAGGCGAGCGAAGCAACAGCAATCAGTGGGTGGCAGTGGTAATTTAACACACTTTAATCAATTAATTGAAGCGACAGGAGCTAGAACTCGAAGCCATCAGGCTGCCCCGTCGGCAACAGATTCCTTGACGGATAGACTTTCTGCAGTAAGCTCAGGTGCTAATCTCCGGCTCGAGCCTGCCCACCCCTCTCCCTTCGATCTGATTTGAGTATAGAATGGCGTCGTTTCAGCCATGTTTTTCCTGTTGTTCTGTAACCGGGGTCAGCCG